ACAGCATTCAGTTCAGTAGTATGCTATGTACTGTATGTATTCTGGAACTAATCTGAGTTTTTGACAGACGTTTTAAAGCATAAATATGGCAACCACTGTCTGAGGAGTAAAAACTTGTCAAGTGAAAAGTTCAAGTAACAGGAAGTTACTTTGTAATATCAGTAAATTCACTTTCAACTGTGTTAACATGGTACAAAATATAGTACTGCCTCAGTATGGTACGTCAAGCTGGTCTGTAACTTCTGTGTACAGGTGGGATAATACATGAGAACAGTGGTGACAGTACTACTGTACTATTACTTTCTAGTGCTTACTGGTGTTTCACTTTCCAACCCCAGATCCTGACAATTACTAAAAGTGTTTACATTGCATAATGTGTTTTGGGAATGCTAACAATCCTGAAAACATGATACCTCTGTATCTCCTCACAACAAATGTTTTCTGCTTCACTGGGCTCTGCAGGTAATTTCTTAACACAAAACAGTGGATGTTTACAGTCTGGACATTTTTGCAAAGTAATACTCCAACATCATGTGACAGAAAGCTGTAAATACCAGTAATTATCTGATGAAAAGGTCAGTATATCTTGGTTTTTAAAGGAAGCTTCTTACATTCACCTAAACCTTCACAATTCTGGCTGTTTGTCCCATGGATATTAACAAATCAGTGTTACTTCCAGTTTCGGTATACAAACATTTGAGTGACATCTGATATGAGTATATTTGTTAGACGAGTGATATGGATTGTTTTCTTATGCAATTCACACAGATAAGAGCAGCACTTGTCTGTTTGTTGCAACCACTGTGCCGTCCAGTATAAAAAATTGACTCCAGTTAACCTCTTGCAGCCCCGCCCATGTGTCAGAAAGCAAAAGTCCTACCCACTCTCGGTGATCAGCCCAATAAAAACAGTGAGGATGAGCAAAGGGCTTCTTAGCTTTTCATGTGACTAGCAGAGAACACACTTAGGTCCCCTGCTGACAGAGCTCTTGCATGAGAGACACTGAGAGTATGACAGAAAGGGAGACAGGCAGAGAATAAGACATTTCAGGAAAATCTCCATATGATTTAAATACAACACATTAGAGACTTGTGGTCCTGCTTGTTGGAGTGACTCTAGAGGTGAGTACATGATCGCACTGTCCTGACTAGAACAGTTGTTAAAATTTGAAATTTGAAGGAAAAATTTAAGATGCTCATAAAAGAACCTTGCATGCTTTACTTACTTTGCTTAATGTTTTGGAAAAGCATTACAAAGATTCATTTGGTGGAGAGTAGGTAATATTGTTACTGCTGTGTATCTTTCCATTATACACAGATGATGATCTGCAGGTGAAAAGATGTACACAGCATATGCAGCATACACATGGTTGAAGCTTTTTTAAGTGGAATATTTGAACATGAGGTACAACAAGTTCTTTATTTAAAGTGCAGTCCCATTAACATTTTTGTATTATCATAAAGCACAATTTTGGGTGTAACTAGAATGTTTATTACATTAACTACTTTTGGACTGTTACTGAGCGTAGTCTGTAAAACAGCATGTTTTCAACACAAGTCATCTTACAGTCTGTTTATTTCACTAACACTGAATAGACATTCTAAGAGCATTATAAAAGCAATTACTGTTTCCAGCCTTCAATGTTAGCTTTTTAATTTTCTCTGATGTCAAACCTGCTGAAACTTGTCACTTGTCTGTTGGCTCTAGTAGCTTAAGCTTAAAAGTTTCTGACAATAATTTACATCTCTAAAAAACATCTTGCTCCCTAAATCAGCATCAGCTGCAAAGCAAACTTGATACCAGAGGAGTGCTGAGCTCTTGTTGACTTTGTGCAAATGTAATCCATCTTTCTTTGATTGTCAAGTGGTAAAACTAACAGCATTTATGGTTATGCCACATTGTATCTTTATTAGTGTGTTTTACGAGAGAAATTCTACTGAGGACAGTGGAGTTTAGTTGTGTTTTTGCAGACTGAGCATATGGGCTGACCCCAAAAGTTACGTATTTGTCATAAAGACCATTTAAATGCTGTATATTTCTGATGTTTTAATGTGAATGATATCATATTGTATATCTTGACACAGCTGACTTTGCTAACAATGTCTTTTGATTTAAAGTGGTAAGAAAGCATTACCAAATATCAACTAGATGCTGTTTTGACAGTACGAGTCATGTATGTGCTGTACCTACAGTGTCAGTATGTTGATAAGTTATTTTCACCCCTTTTAGACTTTTAACATAACTGGGTTGACAAGATTAACACTGTACATGAAAAGCTGTCAGCCCCCACAAAGGAAGTGGTGTGCTTTTATATCAAATGATTAACGGATTAGAAACAGTTTACAGAAGCAGCTTTAAACAATTGTTTTCAGTGCGGTTCAGGGAGTTGACACTTAAATAAATTACACTTTTTGGTTCCCAGTCTTCAATCTCAGTCCTCAGTGTGACTCCTGATGTTTTCAGCTTTTAATCAGGGGTCTGTGTTTCTCTGCTCAAAAGAAAACCTTGTTTAGGTGGACAGTTTTCAACAGTTTGGTGGGAGTGTTCAACATGCATACAAGGTAGTTCTTGTGCTCTTGCTCTCATTTTGGAAAATGTTCTTTCATTTTATACCTCAAAGCTGCATGGGCTCATTATTTGGCTCCTGTGTCTTTGATTGGTTAAAAAAGTCAGGTTTAATTTATAACATCAATAGGAACACCGACCGTTGTACAGGAAAGTAAAATTCCATAGAGATAATGAGTAAAAATCCTAACTATCCTAACAGCAAATCTGATGTAAGTCAATAGAAAACACATTTCTGAGTTGCCAGGGCTGCCGTAGAGTGTCTAAATCAAATCTGATGTAAGTCAATAGGAAACACATTTCTGAGTTGCCAGGGCTGCCGTAGAGTGTCTAAATCACAGACAGGACCAATGTGGTGGTGAACATATCATTGGAAGTGTTGTATGGTTTCTTTGACATGATTATCACAGTTGAGAGGCAGCTGCTACTGAAAACAGTTAATTCTGTGAGAAAGGCCTTCTGCAAAGCATCAATCACAAGCTTCATTCATGCAATGAATGTGTTCATCTTGTATTGTTAGGGTTAGCTGAGTGTTAAAGGAAAACCGACCATTTCCATGATCTAATTTTCTGTGGAAAACCACTGTTACCACTGTAGAATACCCTAAAGTTTAATTCACCATAATAATATTTCACAAAAATAAATGCTTGGATAAGTTACTACTTAAAGAAACAGCACTGAGATTTGATGTTAGGGAATGCTAACATTCTCACTATACTAGCAGAGTAACATGACACTTTTTGAACATTGGTCTGTTTGGTATTTTTCATACAATAAACAAGAGGAGAGGAATAGCTGATGCAGTGTTTAATGCTGATTGGTACTTGACATGAAATTATTTTAGTATTAAGACCTGTTCATACCACCTTTTATTGCAAAAAGGATTACAGTAAAAAACCAACCTTTCTTCCTATAGAAATGTTGAATTTGATCAGTCAAGTCTGAAGTCAATTAGTAAAGTGGATGAAATCTATGTATATGGGACTTGAGTGCCCATGCTCAAGCTTTTCTTTTTGCTCACTTGCCAAATCATCTTGCTTTTCTCTATTTTGAATTGTGATTTTGATTAGAAATTGATTCTCATTGTTTGTGCACTACATGTTAGCCAGCATGAGACCCTGCAATAACATAACCTTACTGTACCTATACTGCTGTCTCGTCTATCCTCTTAAGCCCTAGGGTTCTGGAAGGTGTGACACACCTGAACAGACATGCCCAAAACAGTATTGTACGATTGGACCCTGCACCAGGACCCTAGGGTTTAACTGGCTATGAATAGTGTAGCATTTTAGAGATTATTTGTTTTGTAGCGTTAATGTTTGGAGAGCTGCATGAGGATTACATGTCCTGCAGTGAGTATAACTGACCCAGAGGAAAAGGGTAGTAACAAAGTCTAATTTCAGTTTTCCATAAACAGCAGCATACAGCACCAACAGCACAAGAAACTGATATTTTTCCAGCCAACCAGGAGTAAATATAATTTATTTTCATTAGATGGCATTAAAGTTTTTAGCCCACTGACTTTAGTCAAGGGTTATCCATGCTTTATCTAAATTTAACTGAATTATAATTTTTGTGGAACAGGCCATAATATATATTTATATTATTATTATATGTTATTTTAATTAGGCAAGAAAACATTGTTTAAAGGTACTCTGTGGAGTTTTGGACCATTAACAGCACTGTGAAGCAGGATGGGTCAGGGTTAGAACAATAAACCACTTTGCTTGTATCCTGCGCAAAGGACATGCATGCACATAGGCGAACACATGGGTGACTCATTGCTGTGTATCGAGAAGGAGTGTGGCAAGACACCTGCAAAAGCAGGGAAGAAGACAACTAGCAAGGCAGGCCAGTACACATTAATGTAAACAACATATTTAAAATTATTTTAAAATCTGCTTTTCAGAAGTTTTATGAGAAATGAAATGCACAAAAGAATGCATGTAATGTGTCTTGATAAACTCTGAATGGAAACATTGCTTTTTGTTTGTCCACATGGACGTAAATCAACTTTAAACACGAGTTTCTACATAACCCATAATACCCATAACCTAATTGTTTTGGTAGGTGACTGTTTCTCACTAGTTCTCTTTTATTTCTTCATCTATTCCAAGTGCAATGCATTTCTCTCTCAGAGGAAAGACAAACTACAAATAGCACTGTTCCTACAAAGTAAAGTACTGTAAATGCCAAAGCAAACACAATAAGCATAAAAGTGGCCTAACAGGAAGATGTGGTATCTTTTGATGTGATTTCCATCTATATTCACTGTTTCCATTTTTGTCTTTCCCTGTCTGTCCTGTATGTCTTTTTCCTCAGTGATCTCCTAGAAGCACAGCTGACCACTTTATCTACCTCCCCTCCTTCTTCCTCTTATTGTGCTTCATCCACTTCCTCCCTAAGACTATGGAGGAGATCACAGAGACCCCCCACATCTCCTGGAACGGCAGGTCCGCCAGCGACAGCCAGCAGTTTCGGTCCTCAAATACAAGCTGAAGCGGGGTGTCACCTGCTCAGTGCCCAAAGTCCGATCCACCCTGACCGGGTTTTTCCCTGTGCTGCGGTGGCTGCCTAAATACAAGCTCCGAGAGTATGTCTGGGGTGATGTGATGTCTGGGATGATCATAGGTATCATCTTGGTACCACAGGCCATCGCCTACTGCCTGCTGGCAGGAGTGGAGCCCATCTATGGCTTATATACCTCATTTTATGCCAACATCATCTACTTTCTCATGGGGACGTCCAGACATGTTTCTGTGGGGATTTTCAGCCTCATGAGCCTCATGGTTGGACAGGCAAGCATCACAAGTGGCAAGCAATGATCATACTTGGGCCTATAATGAAATGATAAAAGAAAAGGCCTCTGCACCAGACATTTATGTAAAAACATCTTTCTGCATTTACACTGCAACAGTTCTTGTAAACACTGGTCACTGGAAAAGGTCAGTTAAGGTCATTAATTACTCAATAACACTAAGCAGTTTAAGAATTAGGATAAAAAGAGCCCATAAACACATTTTTTTTCTGTTTTATATGGTTTTCACCATTAAAACCAAATATGTTTCAATTCTGTAGCTGTAAGCTTTTATATTGTTTCACTGATTAATATTTGTTGCTGCTTATTTCTGTTTGTCTGCAGGTGGTAGATAGGGAGGTGTTCCTGGCTGGTTTTGACCTTAATGAGGATTCCAAACCATCTGGCCCAGATGTGCTTAATGGTTCAATGGACATCAATTTCACAGTTGGTCAACTACACAGTGTGGAGTTGATGGGTCTGCAGTGCAGTAAGGAATGTTACGCCATCAGCATCGCTGCTGCTGTTACATTCCTGGCTGGTGTTTACCAGGTAACAGCTGTATTTTGGCTTGACTGTCCCCAAACTCCAGAGATAAAACACTACACATATGAATTTAAAGCAGCTCATGCAGACTTTGACCTGCAACAAAGTAGTAGGACCACATTAAGGGGAAAAAAATGAAATGGATTTATTTATTTATTTTAAAATTTGCACATTGAAAATAAAGTCAAAATATAAACAATTAAGTTGAAATGTCAAGAGTAAAGTTAAAATGCCACTGCAGGAGTAAAGCTGACATACTATTTACAGAAAAAAGCCATGAAATAGTCAAAGTTCAAAGTGTTTATTTGTCATATGCACAGTTAGGAAACGTGTTTCCCTGTACAATGAAATTCTTATTTGCCGTCCACATGAATGCCACAAAATACAAATGCAATATAAAGTAGATAAATAAGTAACAAAATCTAAGGCACTTTAAGCAGCAAATGCAGCAATGTAATAAAAATATATAAGAATATAATAAGAGAATGTATGCTGCATGGGAGCGGTATGTGCAGCAGTCAACAGTCAATGTTACAGTTACAGTTTGACTTTTTCTTAACATACAAACGTCTTCAGTTTTTTCCATAATATGGCCCTAATTCTATGTTATATTAATCCCTAGAGCCACTATGGAGTAGTGTTTTTAAGAGTGAGTTCCCTTTTGTTAGTATAGTAGGGGTGCACACATATAGCATTCTAAAATTAGCATTTAGTCTAGCCTGACAGAGCATGGCTGTAGATGCTCAGTCTTGTTAAACCACATTTTGGATTTGTTCGTTCAGTTTCCATGTTTTACTGACTCTCTCCCTCACCTTTTTATCCTCAACAATCTTCTGTCTCTCCTTCCCCTACCTCCTGATCCCCTCACCAGGTCATGATGGCCGTATTTCGGCTAGGCTTTGTCTCCGTCTACCTTTCTGCTCCCATGCTTGATGGTTTCGCCACAGGAGCCTCTTTCACCATCCTGACTGTGCAGGCTAAATACCTGTTGGGTCTAAAGTTTCCCCGTCATCAGGGCTACGGCATAGTTATAATCACCTGGATCAACATTTTCACTAACATTCATAAGACCAACCTGTGCGACCTCATCACTAGTGCCATCTGTATCTCCATATTAGGTAAAGAACAGTCACTGTTGTAAATCGCATGCTTCTGCTTTAATGAATGATACACTACAGTTCCCAGAAAGACATGGGAGGAGGCATCCAAGTACTGGCCATAAATTTTCAGTGGCATATAAAAGCATGATGATGTGAATTGTTTAGTAATGACCTCGAGTATAGTCTTACACCTTTTGTAATATAGAAAGACACTGTGAATTTGAATTATAGTGGCAGGTAAAGAGATCCAGGAGCACTACAAGGATCGCCTAAAGATCCCTCTGCCCACGGAGCTGGTAGTGATGGCAGGAGCTACACTGGCCAGTCATTTTGGACAGCTGAACAGCCATTACGACTCCAGTATTTCCGGTCACATCCCAACTGGGTTCATACCTCCAAGGCAGCCCAGCTTTAGTCTGATGTCACAAGTGGCACTGGATGCCATTCCTCTGGCTGTTATTAGGTAATGTACAACCAATCTAACATCATGTTTGCTTTGCATCAACATGGGTTGTTGCAGATGTAATTTATTACTGGCAGTGATATATGCCCTCACTGTCCAGGGAGTTCATTGTACTTTCTTGCCAAAGTACACACAACTATGTATGTTTCCTTAGGTATTATTTTACATTCTGTCAAAATAAAAATGACTTGCTTGAATGGCAGTAAGCACTCATCATTTAACATTTTTTCTGGGTGATTCTTGGATGTAAAAACATACAGCGGTCACCCCAAATGCAGGTTTGCATCAAGTCACATGGTTTTATGAGGGAGAGGGTAAATATAAATTTTCTGCCTCATGAAATTTAATTTAATCTTCTAGTTTTGCCTTCACTGTGTCGCTGTCCGAGATGTTTGCTAAGAAGAATGGCTACACAGTTCGCCCCAACCAGGAGATGCTGGCTATCGGCTTCTGTAACATCATCCCCTCCTCCTTCCACTGTTTTACCACCAGTGCAGCACTAGCAAAAACCATGGTGAAGGACTCAACAGGCTGCCAGACACAGGTAAATTTAAAACTTTTTTAAAAGGGTCAAACCTACAGTAAATTATTGGTCTGATTATTTTTGTTTTGACAATTTAAACAGATAAAATGCTTCAACGTTAATGTGACATTTTCACTTGTGTTTAGAAAATTACATATTGGACATTAATTTCTTCCAGTTTGCAATGGATTTATTGCTTTCGCAATGCTCTCTTGCTTACAAAGATCAGGAAAAAAACATTCTCACTAAGCTTCTTTGCAAGGAGTACTCTGATAATGAATTGGCTGATAACAAATGGCAAGCCCCAGAAAATCTAGAACTTCTACAAACTTTGTCCTGTCAAACCCACCTCAGGGAAAGCAATTATGCATAAGGAAAATATTGATTTGAAGCTGAAGTTTATCCTGAGGCCAATTGTAGGGTCTCAGCATTCGGAGGAGTAAAACATACTGTATTTTATCTGTTCATATTATGTAAGTTTGTGGAAGGTATTTACAATAAACTCTCCTTCTTTCTCTTTCCATCTCTGTCTCTTTTGATTTCTCTGATCCTCTGTCAGGTATCGAGTCTGATCAGTGCTCTGGTTGTCCTTTTTGTCCTCCTGTTCTTGGCACCTTTCTTCTACTCTCTACAAAAGTGTGTTCTTGCTTGTATCATCATTGTCAGCCTTCGGGGGGCACTGAGAAAGCTCAAGGACATCCCGGCTAAATGTTGCGCCGGCCAGAACGATGCCATTGTTTGGCTGGTCACTATGTCGGCAACAGCTCTGATCAGTGTGGAGCTGGGGATCCTAATAGGAATTGTCTTTTCAATGAGCTGCTTCATTTTTAAGACCCAAAAGCCTAAGGTGAGTAAATGATTGATGCTGATAATGGCTGGAAATTAATTGCTGATGTTGCACACCAGAGGTTCCATAATATTGGCCTTGATTTACTGATCTGAAATACTTCATAAAACTTTATATATTGACTTTTAGTAATATCATAAATTCATCTAATCTGATGTCAGGTTTCTCTCCTGGGCCAAGCCAATGACACTGCTCTTTATGAGGATGTCAGCGAGTACAAGAATCTCATGCTGCCACCTCGAGTTCATGTCTTGCGCTTCCAGGCTCCTCTGTACTACGCCAACAAGGACTCATTCCTCAAATCCCTCTACAAAGCTGTTGGAGTTGAACCTTTCTTGGAGATAACTAAGAGAAGAAAGGCAGAGAAGAAGGCCAAAGAGATGTCCATAAAGCAGGCCAAGGCAAATGGGAATAAAAACGATGGTGAGGTCATTACTGTACTTGTCAAAAGAGAGCTGGGGTTCCACACAATAGTTTTAGACTGCTCTGCAATCCCATTCATGGATTCGACAGGCATGGCCACATTTAAAGCGTTGGTCAAAGAATATAAAGAGATCGGGGTGAGCGTGCTCCTTGCCAGTTGTAACACCTCAGTCATTGATACCCTGCAGAAGGGCCAGTTCTTTGGGAAGAATAACGAAGACATGAGCAGCCTGCTGTTTCATACAGTTCACGCTGCAGTTCTTCATGCAAGAAATACATCTGCTGCAGCAGAGAGCAGGTCAAATGACTCTGTGGTGTAGAGTAGTGGAGCAAGAGGGGAATAAAAAAAACCACTGTGATGTGTTCCATTCCTCCTTTCCTTTTCAAACCTAAAAGTGAATTTATACATGACATCTTGCCATCTGTAACACTACTACATTAGGTAGCTTACAGGTTTTCTTTTAGTATGCTCTGTGCAAGAAAACATGGCAGTACTAAGAGGATCCAATTAGGAAGAGTATCATAAAAAATCATATTTTGATGCTTTGTGTTCTTAAATAATCAGACTACATAAATGTTTATCTGCACAACAAAGAAAGAGGGCATTCTCATAAAATTATGAAGTGAAAAGGTGCGATTATTTTCTAAAATGATGACCTATGACTGTGGGAAAAGCCTTCAACAATCAGGGTTGATTGTGCACAGTTCAAGACCCCTCTCAGGTACAGACCACTCCCATTACAGGTACATAAACTGCAGAAGCCTCTTCCATGTCCATTATTACTCCAACTGTCTTGTAAACATAGTCCTGAATAGCCGATTCCAACATTATATCATAAAATGAATTTCCCTCTAAATATACTGAAGATTTTTTCTATCGCTAGAAGAAAGCATTGGTGGGCTCACAGGTTTAAGACCCCCTCCTAACCTTCCGAAAATTTCTTGTAGGGTCACATTGTAACAGACTGTGCCAGTTTTGGAACCAGTCACTCTTGTTGTGCTCTCTTATCAACTTTCCTTTCCTCATTTTTTTACAAACTACTTCCTGACTGGACACAAGTGGCAAGGAAGGAAAGGCAATGAGCTGCAGGAAGGGCAACAGACCACACCCACAGTATCTGAAGCTTTTTAAATCACTGAATCACAAACCAAGGCAGTGTAGCTAATGGTTTTAAAGATTCTTACTTTACATTAAGTGAACCTGTGATCCATCAATGATCTATCAGTGGTATCAGTAATTGAGGTTAATAAATACAGTATAAACACAGCAAGAACTACTGTACATTATACATTCAATCTGTACAGGCTTGCTAGTTTAGTGCTTTATGCCACACAGTTGTTTTGTATACATGTCAATAGTCTCAAAAGTGTTTCTTCAATTTCCAGGTTAGTTTCTATTCACACATATGGATCACTATGTCAAAAGTCAACTCTGTTTCAACTCTGGAAAGGCGTAATCTAGGAGTTCAAAGTTCAAACATGGAGAGTCATCCACTATGAGGTGCTAGGCATTACCTTAGATTTTCTAAAAGGCTGGTTAAACTCGACCAGACTTAAGGGTAGAGGTGGCAGCTTCATGTAACTCATGAGGGCTCTCACACTGAGAGAGCCTTGCCTTCAAATCAGGACTTATTACAACATACGCGTGCCCTGTTCCCAGGTGACCCAGCAGGAGCAAGTTTATGATATGTTGTCATACTAGGGTTTAGTGTATACACATCTGAGATCTCTGCTCTGGTGCTGGTGGACGCATCATTAGATGCTTCTGAAGTGCCCCCCCAGTAAACCTATGCAGCAGGTGGTGCCACATATTTTGTCATCCTTCCTGTTTTCTTAAATAACATTCAAACAAATAATGATGTTAATGTGATTCCAAATGCGAGGAGTATATTTTTATGGTCAATGAATCATATTACAAGGGTCAAACTATCATGAAAACATTGAGAATACATTAGGTGTAATGGCATTATGGATAAACTGAGCTGCCTTGGCAGATTATTAATTGGTATTCTTAATATTCCTTTTTAACAAATTGGTCCCAACAGGTTAAGGTCAATAACTTTGTCTCTAAGACCAATATAGCAGCACAGGAGCACCACAAGGCTACATGAGTTTATCTTTCCTCTTCACACTGTACACAGATGAATTCTAAGTCTCTGACAGTATTAAACCTGCTGCACAGCAATGATAAAATCATATGCTGAAATCAACCGGGCACACTCCTAAAAGACAGCAACACTAAGCTGCTTTGCCAACATTTAAAACTTGCATGTCAAGCCTCCTCTGCAGACTCAGACTATTTGATTTGGGGCCTGGCGTTAAGTTGACACTTGCTTGAAAGCATCATCAGATTCAGAAGGGCACAATGGTACAACAGCCTCACTGTTCAGTTAAAATCTAGAGTCAACAGAAATGAAAGCGATACACAAAACCAATCCTTTCATTCTATGACAAGACTGTTAACTAGACGACACAGAGTAATGACTTCCAAAGTTAGTCTATTTAAGACAAATGTCCCTTTTTTGTGTCCCAAGATAGTCCTTGAGCTGTGGAGGAGGGATACCTTCGAGTATTCGCGTTTAAGTTCTGTTACCAGAATCGGATTTAATTACTCACCTGAATGCATAATCAGTATCACCTCTCTTACATCATTATAATATGACCCTACAAGAAACGTTGCAACAACATTTGTTTCTACAAAGTTGAGTCCTGTTACACTGTAACTTATTTGAACTGCTGACTGTCATCGCTGTGGCCTTATTAGGAAACATTCTCTAACACATACATAACTTGGCTGATTGATTAACAACAACACATGATGTAGCCTATTTATTTGCACTTAGCCTCTTGTCAGCTGCTGTTAGCTCAACTGGTGATTGCACAATTGCAATGCTGACTGTTGGCCAGTTCATTTCTGTAGGCTAATTTATGGACATCCTTGGACTTTCATCCCTTTATTGTCTTTAATTCTTTCAAATAGAAGCTGTGAATTTACAGTTATTTTCTGTAATTTTCTTCGTTATTGTTTTATCCTTTCAATAATGATTTTTATTCTTTAAATATGTCCTGTGTAATAACTGTCATCATAATATTAGTAGGAGCTATTTGTTTAATTAATTTGGTTTCTATTTCAAATATTGACATTGCTGACATTTCCACATCTGGGTTTTCAGACGTTACTTTTTTAATCACACAATGTGTGTGTATGGTTATGTTACATAGCCTACATATATAAATTATGTAGTCACTTTTCATTTGTTTGTACCTTGTATGTAACTATGTGTAGCACTTGTGTCCAAGACAAATTTCCTGTCAGTGACAATCAACTTTATCTTGTTTTAACTTCTTCACTACCACTGGTTTGTTAAATAGTTTGCGACATGCTCAGTGAGACTTTGTCGCATTGTTAAATCACTGTTTTCCATGTTCGCCATCCTGTTTGTGCCATATGTGAAATCCTGATTAAAACAATAACATGTTTTTGTTAGCACAACAATTTACAGTATGTACATTAAGAACTCTAAAGATGCAATAATTCATAAGGGATGTATTTTTTCCTTGAATGTGAACATATTCATGTCAAAAAGACAAGAGCAGGTGAAGTGGCATTATAATAAAATGTAGACCTTCTTGTTTGTAAATTTAGAAAATTACCACTTTAAATTTTTTATTTAACTGGATTCATGATAATTATCGCATTATATTTTCAGAGAAGTCTCACTGACTTTCATTTTAGATAGTGTTGACATTCAACATTCATATACAAACTGTGCCTTAGTGTTTAATACTTGAATTAAACATGTTTTGGTGAAAAATTTCTCAGTGCCTTTATTATTGCCAATAATAACATGTCATACGAAATATCTATACACTTAAAAATGCCACTTATTTTCTAAAGGAATGATTATTAAAGCTGTGCTAATCAGTGTTTTTATAATAACAATGGTTCAGATGACTATGTACAGTATAAATGTGAAAGGGGCCCCTTGTAGTGACAAATCAATTCAAAATGATCACCCGATTCCTGTCTCCCACAGCCCTACG